CCTCCAAGAGACTTCTTCAGTCTGATGAGTTTCAGGTGAAACTCAGCCTTATAAGCTCCGCCTCCACATGATGGACAGGTTAGTCACATGCAAAAGAGGGCCATCGACTAACAATAGGCTTGATTATTTCTATTGTACACAGAGGGTCATGTGACCCAACACCTGACTTATTGGTTTGGATGCTGTGGTTCTTAGGTGCCGTGTCATGTGTATGTAGTGAATGCAGGCGGGGCTCAAAGTCCCCTTGTTTTTGTTTTTTCCCACTTTGTGTTGGTATCATTAGGACCCTGATTCACACCTTTTATTTATTTATTTATTTAATAACCTATTTCACATATGGGGCAATACTATAGGCAGAAACATGGGTGTGCCATGGGATCCCCAGTTTCCCCTGTTGTTGCAAACCTGTACATGGAGGAAGTGGAAAAGAGAGCCTTGATGTCCTTTTCAGGGACACCACCGAGCCATTGGTTCATGTATGTTGATGACATTTAACTGATCACATCAACTCTGTGGATAAATTTATAAAGTTCACATAAGAGGATGTAAAGATGGCAGGTTGGTGTTCCTGGACTGAGATCTCAGTTTCGGATGGAGGATGGTTGGAAACTGACGTGAATCACAAACCCACCCATACAGACCAGTATTTACAGTCTGACTCCCATCACCCACCGGAACACATTAGGAGTGATCAGAACTCTGTAGCACAGAGCAGACAGGGTCCCCACAAACACAGGAGCCAGGCAGAAAGACAAGTCACACACACGACAGGCTCTGGAGCAGTGTGGTTATCCTGACTGGGCTTTTCTGAAAGCAGACAAGAAACACAAACAGGATTCCAGCCAACAACCAGCTGAACATGAAGACCCTAAACCCAGACCCAAACCAGTCGTCATTCCATATGTGGGGGGAGTTTCAGAGAAACTGAGATGTTTATTCTCTAAACATGGCGTCCCAGTGGCTTTCAAACCCCAAAACACGTTACGACAAAGATTAGTTCACCCCAAAGATCCAGTTCCCCGGCAAAAACAGAGTAATATAGTGTATGCTGTTAAGTGTCAGGAGGGCTGTGATCAGTCATACGTTGGAGAAACAAAACAGCCACTGTTCAAAAGAATGAGCCAGCACAGACGAGCTACATCATCTCTTGTAGTTACTTGTACTATATATTTTTTCTTAAAGGGTCAATATCATGTAAAATCAACTTTTTGAGTTTTATATCATGTTATAATGTTATACTCTCATAAAAAACATGTCCAAAGCCTTGATCTGACTCATTCATCATGTTTGAGAAATCCTGCAG